GTTGATCTGGTACAGGCCTGCTTCATGTGCAGGGGAGTCAGGCCCTCACCTTGTCTCTCGGTCCCCTTTCCCATGGTGCCACCACCACAGCCACCCTAAGGACACTTCAGATGCGCAGTGAGCAAAGTCGCTGTTCCCTGGAGGACAGGCTGATAGTGTGAGGTCCGCAGCATGGCTGGCTAGTGGGAGGAGCACACTGGTATGGGGGAGCACGGCTCCTACTCAACTTGGGCTGCTCAGGTGTGCCTGTCTTTCAGCCTAGACATGGGTAGCTGTTCTCCGGGGATGGGGCTGTGGAAGAGGCAAGGACTCGGTTCCCTACGAGCCAACAGAACTCAGAAGCACCTGTCACCAGCCCAAGCACTGCCCCAAGAAGTGTGATGGGGACCAGGTCTTGCTGGCCAGGCTAGTCCCTCTGGAGTTGGAGTGTTACAACAATCCCTTCTCTAACTCCAAGTATGCTCCTGGTGCTTCACAGGGCGGGCTGTGATGGTCCTCTCTGTCTGGGGAGAAGACAAAAGGCACAGCCTGGGGACATGGCTCAATGGGTGAAGACACCTGATGACCTGAGTTCAGTCCTGGGGGCCCTACCTGGTGGAAGGAGAGAACCGACTTCCACAAGGTGTCTTCTGACCTCCACATTGGTGCTTCGCACCCCTCCCAATAACTAAAAATGTAATTGAAAACTTTTTAAAAATCGTCATCGGTCTCCTTTATAATTGTAGAAAACACTGATTTCCATTCAGAGGTGAGAAAAACAGAGCTTCCTCACGATGCAGGTCTGAGTCCTGGTGTCTAAGACCCACGTGGAGTACAGTGTTAGGGGGCAGGCATGGACTCGCTCCCTGTATTAGTACACAGCAACATCCAACCTTCCACGAGGAAGGTCACCACTCAACTTCACCCCCACGCCAACAAGTGTCACTTGGATATCCATCCTATGCCCAGCTCTAGGTGGCTCGCATCTGGCCATATAAGGAAAGAATATTAAACTAGGTGACCTTTGCTCTTGTACACATATTTTAAAGAAAAATGTATCTTTTTGGGATAAACGAACCTCTCTTCCCTATGCTATTGAAGGACCAGTTGCAACAGAACTATTTTTTTTTTATTTTTAAAAAGTATTTGAAGCTTTTCAGGCTCGCATAGGAACCCAACCTTTATTTGTACTCCTGTTTCTATTCCAAAAGGTATTGTAGGTTCCAAAAGGCCAAATGAAACATTTCAAGAACAGTGACCGCATGCTGATAGAAGTCTGTCACCGGCTAACTGACAATAAAGTAACGATGTAAGTAGTTAATTAATGTTGCTTCCTACACATTTCTCCTGTAGGTGAGCTCATGATCCAGGTAGGGTGTACCAGAAAATGTGCACACAAAGATGGGCAGCCAGAAAACACATCAGGGCACACGAGACGGCTCACCTGTAAAGGCCCTGATGCCAAGACTCACTGCCTGAGTTCGATCCCTGGGATCCATGGTAGGGGACAGCTGACTCCTGCAAGTTGTCCTCTGACCTCCACATGAATGCCGTAGTATATGAGTGCCCACACACACTCATAAATAGAAAAACTGAATGTAATTTTAAAAAAAGAGAGAGAAAACACATCAAACGTGAAAGCAGATGGATGATACAAACGCTCTAAAATTCTTGTTCCTGATTAAAAACTTAAAAAAAAAAATGGGAAAAGTAATGCAACAGGATCCATGGTAGAGTTCTAATAAAACACATTCTAGTATCCCTCCTTTGAAACCACCAAGCTGCGAATCTGGGCCAGGCTGTGACGTATGTCCACAGGTTGCAAGATCCACAGATAGCTGACATGGCTTCGTCCGAGACTCCGTGGAGGACAGTGAGATCTGGATGAGATCAAGTGCAGGCGCCCGTCATCGACAAGCCCCACTGGGAGGACGTTCTGCTCTGTTCTGCATCTCTGGGCTCCTGCCAAGGGTGCTGCTGGCTACAGGTATACTTCCTCTTGAGGCTGCCTAGGCTTCACTCTGACCTCTTCCACTCTGAAGCAGGGTCCGCCTCTGTGAGTGGAGTGCAGTCAGCCTTCATTTCACAGACTAAGATGAGGGGCGGTTCAGGCTTGACTGGCCTTAGTGATGCTTCTTGTCTTCTGACGTGCTCACTTCCACCCTGCCCCCCCTTGTGTGTGTGAAGCAATGTGTGGACATGTGGAGGTCAGAGGCTGACGTCAAGTGTCTTCCACTAGTGTCCTCCACTTTATCTTTGGAGGCTGCTCTGAAGTCAGAGCTTAGGGCTGGCTAGACAGCTGACTGGTGAGCTCCAGGGAATCCTGGGGTCCCTGCCTCTCCACTGCTAGGGTTACAGATATGTATCATCATGCCCCATTTTCATGTGGGTCCTGGGGATCCCACTTCAGGCCCTCATGCCTACATGGCAGGCATTTTAGCCCCAGACAAATTCTCCAGCCCCCACCCCTTTCTGAGAGAAAAAGCAACTACCTAATAAGCCTTTAATATGATTGTTTTCAATCACCCATTTTTCAGTCTTATATTGAATTCAAGGACATGAAATACTGAATCCTTAAGGCACAGAGGTGATATGGGAAAATTCTAACAATGGTCACCCAAGGGCTGATGCCTGAAACCTGGCCACTAGTGCACTGGGATTTGGATCTGTGATCTGGGCTCAGGCCTGAAACTGCTGTTTAGTCAGCCTGAATGAGACTCATGGGAGGTAGAGAGGGACTCTCTGCAACACGGGCAGACAGCCTTTGTTGGCAAAGCAGACCAGGGCTAGAAGAGCCAGGGAGCTTTGGCGGGATGGGAAGTGGCAGTTTCATGTCTCTAGCTCTGTTCCTCCACCATTATGTGTATCTTCAGCTCCATGCACTCCCAATTTCTGCTCCCCTACAGTTCTGTGGTCCCCCTCAGCTCTGAACCCTCAGCTCCCTGTCTGCCACTAGCTCAGTATTCTGGGAACCTAGAGTTGGTTGTGCAGCCCAAGCTCAGGTTCAAGGTCTATGTGGGCTGTTACAGCTCTGGATAGACTGCCTTTGCATGCAAGGGAGCAGCTCACACCCAAACCCCGCTCTTCTGCACCCTTTGGAAAAGGCAGGGGAATCACAGCAGTGCTATCTGACGGCAATGGGGTGGACAGCGCCTACCATGACTGGACGGCCTAAGAAAGGACCAGAGATATCTACCATATCCCAGGCGCTGTGTTAATTCCAGTCCCGCATTTCCACCATCCTCATTTCATTTAGATTCCCCAAAGTCCTGGAGGGAGCTTCCAGGAATGTCACTCAGGATGGAAGCAGCAGTGCCTGAGGCCACTACGAAATGTCTGAGGGATGTGGGAAGCAGCCCAGCTCCTGAGAAGGGAAGTGGGATTACCAAGAAGTGTCCTTTTTAATTTCCCCTTTGTATGGACAGGAGCTCCCTGTGACGGGTCTTAGTGAGAATGGGGTTCCAGAGCTGCTGGAAGGCCCTGTAGACTGTAGGGCCAGTCACAGTGGGATCCCAGCAAGTCAGATGGCTCAGCACGGAGAACACACCACAAAGGGAAGCCAGTGCTGGAGTGCTGGCAGCAGGTAAAGACCGGGGAGGGAGGGGCTCCAGGACCACACTTCGAAGGGTAGTCAGCAAGCTGATGCAGAGAGCCAGGTGGTATGAGGGTGCTCTGCAGAGCAGGGTACTGAGTGCAGCTGGGGGATGGATGCCTTGGAGGTCTCCCTGTCTCAGGCACTCCCTGCCTCTAGTTGGGTGAAGACAGACACTAGCCCCTAATCCCAGCTACTCCCAGGAGCCCTCTGCAGTGGAACCCACAGTTCACCTGATGTTCTGTGTGTTACAGGCAGCCCTGTTTCTGTAAGCTGAAGCTAAACCAAGAAAAGCCTTTAATACATTGTTACAGACTTAACAAGGCAGGGATGGGACTCCCTGGTTGTGGAAAGTTGGAATGTTGCAGATCAGAGTCAAACTATCCTTTCCTTTTGAAAGTCTGACCTTAAGCATGTTCAATGCAACTCTTAGGTTTGACCTAGTAACCTTGTGACTGTCAAAACCTTTAAAATGTATTAAGAAGTATCATTACATTTTTATTTCTTTTGTGCATGTGCCATGGCATGTATGTGGAGGTCAAGGGACAACTTGTGGGAGATGATTCTCTTTTTACTGAGTGTCCTGGACTCAGGCTGTCACAATTAGTGCCCATGAGCTGACTTGCTGGCCCTAAAATGCTTCATAACACATCACTAGCTCCCATCAGTCAAAAGGTAAGAATGGCATTAGCACCTTAACAACCTTTATCAGGTTTCCTGCATTACTGTAACCCGCCTATATGGTCCCTATATGCCTATATGCCAACATGTTTGGCAAATGCTTTACAACTTAGCTCTGTAATTAATAAAATCAAACAGAAATACTTTCATGATGGGACTGTCTTTTGGGGCAACCTAAAGCTATGTTCCTTGGACCATGGTCACTTGCATTTGGCTTAAGTATAAATGGTCTTTAATTCTCAGGCTTTGAGGTGAGAGCTGTTTTCTGTTGACATTTCCACCTAGGCCAACGTTGAGCCTGAGGCCATGGAATCCAGTCGATCTAGGGAGGCCAATCCGGGAAGGTCTAGAAGATGCAGTCAGGGAGAGCAAGGGGACATGTGTGTCCAACCAAGAGCTGCAGCACTGTGCCTGCTGATGTGTGTCATGCCCACAGATGCACATGTACGGGTGTAGATGCATACAGATACACTCACAGACCGCCCCCCCATAAGCATACACACACACACAGTCACACACACATACAGTGTGTCTCAGACCTTCTCACAGCCACGTAGACATGCTGAGATACAGACAACCACACATACACCACACATACTTGTCTTGCACCTCTGTCCTCATCCACACTCTGTTCCCAATGGGATGGCTGGGGAACATACGCTGTGGACATTTCAGGGCTGATCCTAAGCCTTGCCAGGACTCTAACCTGGAAGAAAAGCACACAGGGAAGTCCACTCAAAGAAAGGTGTACAATGAACAATCATGTTTAATGTTTACAGAACAAACTTGTTCCTTACTGTTCAGTTCATTATGAACTGGAATCTCATTTAAAACCTCTAAGGCAACCCTGGCCTCAAGCAGCAGCATCTTGAGGAGCTGGCTATGTCTTGTGCATGTCACAAAGCCTCCAGTCTGAGCTTCAGCTGCAGTGGCAGCCACAGCACAGACCTTAGCCCTCTCACTGCAGAGAGGACAGAAGACAAGACTGTCAGCTCTACAAGCTCTGCCCTGGGCAGCCTGTGGGTGATGCAGCAGAGCTTCCTGAAGGCACAGGCTGGGGGCAGCAGCAAGGGCTTCTGGAGGAGCACAGGGATATTCCCAGGCATGTGTACCCACATCACCACCTTCTCCAAGCAGTGAGTCAGCCAGCACAGTGACAGCTGAGGTAGGGCCTCCTGAGTGCCTGCTGAGGTCAGGGGACACAGCACAGCTGTGGCTTCCCTGAAAAGGCTCCTGGGGTAAGTAAGCCTGGCCCATCAGAACGTAGCAGCTCCCGTTCTGAGCAGGGGCCCAGGCTTTGGGAGGATGTTGCTAGAGCTTACTGTTATTCTGGAACTGGGCCACCAGGCTGAGGACCTGCTCAGAGGCTTTGATGTTCTTGGAGCCCAGGTAGCTGACGCTGTTGGTGCCTGTCTCCTCCAGGTAGTAGCGGTAGTTGACCATGAGGCCACAGGAGCTGGTGAGGCCTTTCAGGCTGCTGTCAGCCATCCAGTTGATACGCCACATCACAGCCCCATTCTGCAGATGGAAGTTGGCCACAGGGTTGAGGGCATAACCTCGGTGCTTCTCACCATACAGGTACCAGGCACACAGCCTCATCAGTGGCCCCTGCAGGGCCTGTACCAGCTTCTCCGATTTCACCCACTCACCACTGCTCAGGAAGCCCTTGAGGCTTTCGTGAACTGGGTCACCTGTGACCTCTGAGATTTCTTTGCACTCTGAGTCTGTGAACAGCTCGTTCCTCCCATTCTCCTTTCCCTGCACATTCAGGAGGCCCAGAAGCCACTTGGTGAATCCAGGTATAGGCGACAGACTTGAGAAGGCCCCCAGGTGAGGAAACTCCTTCTGCACAGCAGGTAGGGAGAGGAGGGAAGGCAGAGGGCACATGGTCAGCAGGGGGGCACACACACGGAACGCTCCCAACACACAGCCTATGTGTGCTGCCTCAGGCAGCAGAGCCAGCTGATGGCATCACTGTACTTTCTTTCAAGCCTTGTCCATGAGGACCCTGGTGAGGGTCAAGGCCTGGAAGCATCTTGCATTCTCAAGATCAGCCTATAACCATGATATTTCCAACCACACCATTGTCACAGTGGTGACACAGGAAGTGGTCAGGAGCGGGCAGCCTGCTTACACCCAGAGAGCTGGCCCTTAGGATGGGATGTAGTCTTTATCTTCTCTCTGCACCACACCTCTCCTACAAGTGTCCTAGAGCCAGGTCCTCCTGATGCTTGCTTGACATAAAGACGCCATGTTATGTGACTGTCCAGCTCTAACCCAGTGGTGGCAGAGGGGTCAGCAGGGCCAGGCAAAGATGTATTACCACAGGACATAGCTTAATCACCTCCATACAAATTACACATAGATCTTACGGAGGGTCTTCACACATGAGCACTCCCTGGCTATACACACAGTAAGTCCACTATGGGAAAATCCCACTGCTGTGGGAACACAGCTCTCTGGAGTCCAGCATGTCATGGTACCTTTGGTTTTTCGCTGCAGCTCTTGCACAGCTGAGGCTATTTTACATCTTGTATGGGAGTTTACAGTGTGCACATGTCCTACTTATCATTTAGAAAACAGACCAGTACTGAACGGTCAGAGGGTTCCTACTTCTCCTTACTAGCACTGGGGCTCTCAAGTGTGCTGCCTCTGGAACCCTGGTGAGCCTTTGGTGCAGAATGGTGCCAGGCCTCTGCCAGCATTCAGGAGAGGACACTGAGAAGGACTTCTGGCTCACAAATGAGTATCAGAAGTGGCCACAGGTGGCTCCTGGTCAAGCTCTTGGGTAGCTCACCCAATCCTGGATCCTGTTCTCTCCCTGCCTTCCTTGTCCTCTGTGTCTCCTCTCCCTGTGGCACTCATGACAGCAGCAGAGAGAACGGAGAGGAGACGTGTTGTCCCTCTCTGGGGGATGGAGGTAGAATGATGACAAGGCAGGTTCCCAACACTCAATTCTCCAGTCTGATTCCTGCCAGGCATGTTGGCACTACTAAGACCAGCCTGAAAAAGTTTGAGGTACTTTGGCTCAAAATAAAATGTTAAAATGGGGGGACGGGGAACAGGGGACTGTGGTTGCAGGTCAGTGATAGGTTGCTTGCCTTACATGATCAAACCAAATTCCTAGTGTCAGCCAGTGCAAAACCAGCATGGAATCAGTTTGACTGCCCTTGGCTGGTGAGGCCACCACTGTGAGTCTGCCACTGTGTACCGTGCCTGGGTAGAAAAACGTAGGGAGCAGGAAGCAGCTGGTGCAGAACGCTGTCAGCAGCCCGGAGTTAGACTCTCCTCACCTGGCTACCCGGCTCCCCATGGAGCAGCCGGAAAAGCTGAGCCCAGGGTAAACGCAGCATTTTTGTCTCAGGACAGTAATGTGTCCCTCCCAGGCAGCAAAGAAACAGAATCAGACCAACACAGCTAATGCATTTATCTTCATGCTGCCTGGCCTAACTGGGGAACTTCCCTCGCAAGGCCCTGAGGGCTGCAGGGAGGGAGTGTCTGGCATGGCATAGTGGGGAGGGCTGCCAACTGTATTATATGGATCAGAGCAGCAGAGAGTGATAGGTGGCCATGCGAACATGTGTGCCCAGATGTGTGCCCCCAGGAGTGTAGAGCAAGGTCTCCCCAGACAGCTGGTGTCATGTGACACGTGTGCTGCACAGCCAGTGAGATGCTAGGCTTTAGTCACCTGCTCTTTGGGCTCCAGGCCTGGCCCAGCGGCCCTGATGCTGTTCTGCCTCCTTCCCTCTTCTCCAACCCTTCCTGTCTGGGTCCTTGTCCCCAGGGAGTGGCAGACCTTACCTGCCATCACGACAGGGACTTAGGGAGCAGTGACCTACTTCACCAGGCTTACCTGCAGCTCCTTGACCACTCGCTTTATGAGGAAGGTCCCGAGCTCCACCCCCTGCAGGCCCTGCTGGGTCAGGCTGATGGAGTAGAAGATAGCAGCCGAGATCCTGTTCCTCTCCTCGGTTTCAGAGGGAGGGCACTCCTTCACAATGCTCTGGAAAATACCCACAGCAAGCCTCAGCAGGGCTCCATGACTGCTCACACCCAGTCACCCTGTCACTATTCACAGGACAAGCCCCAAGGAGACTTCAGTCCCCATCCCCACTCCCAGGTTCTGGTGGCTCCGGTTCAGGGCCTGTTTTGAGAACACTGGAGGACACAATTTCATACTGCCCTGCCACTACTTGGAGAACCCCTGCCAGCTCCACTGAAGAGCAGCGCCTTTGGTCTTTCCAGGCCCCTCTGGAATAAGCGGCTTCACACACTGAGCCTGTGTAGAGGGCAATGGGCTACACGTGGGGATCCTTCCAACTCTCTGCCCAGTTCCGTCTCTGTTCCTTTGCTCAGCTTGCATTTGCGTTCCTCAGAGGGCCCCAGGCAGCCCAGTGTAAGGTTTCCTTCTCAAAATGTACCCATTAGAGGATTTTCTATGCATTTCTTTAGCCTCACGCCAGCACCCTTATTTTCTCTAAATAAAACACATTCACATAGTCGCCTCCACACAGTAAGTTAAGAAACGACTTCTGCTGTGAAGTCTCTTAGCTGACTTTACTGGCTCTCATTTTTTACTAAATGTGTGGGTTTTTCTGTTTTGCTTTTGTCTTACACAAGGTCTCTCTGTGTAGCTCTCACTGTCCTGGAACTCACTCTGTAGACCAGGTTATCTTCAAACTCACAGAGATCTGCCTACCTTTGCCCTCCACCCATGCTGAGATTAAAGGTGTGTGTCACTACTGACAGCTTCATTTCTAATTTTTCTAATTTTTTTTTTTTCGAGACAGGGTTTCTCTGTGTAGCCCTAGATGTCCTGGAACTCGCTCTGTAGACCAGGCTGGCCTTGAACTCACAGAGATTGGCCTGCCTCTGCCTCCCAAGTGCTGGGATTAAAGATGTGCGCCACCTTGTCCAGTTCACTACGGCGTTTTTAAGCCGATTCTCTGAAGGTCACTTCATGGCAGGTGATACTCTTGGTGCTTAATCAGGCACAGCTTGTCTTGGATGAACAAACAGGTTTACAACACAAGTGCCCACCAGCAAGTGATCCCTGGAGCAGGGCTGCTCAGCCCAAAGCCCTCACCAGCATGTGATCCCTGGAGCACTTTTTTCCTGTACTCCGGATATGAGGCCCCTTCAGCCTCAGCACTGTCTAAAAAGAGGCCTATGGTAACCAGGTGTTCTGTGGACTGACAAGCACAGAGCACACATTCAACAGGTGTTATGAAGTCACAAATGAGGCCATACCACATACACTCTTCTACAGTTTGGAGTCCAATCTTCAGGAAGTCAAGGTTGGCCTTTCATGCAAAACATGAACCTACAGCAACATTTCAATAGACACAGGTCAAAGGTTCCTGAAGCCACCTCTGAAGGACACTTACACATGGCTGCTGCCTTCTAGTTATACACAGGAGCTGTACATACGAGCATCTGGACTTTCAGGCTGGACAAGAGCTGAGTTTTCAGATAAGAAGGAATACATTCTCAACTTTAACACACATGTCGAGCTGCCCCCAGACAAGCACCAGCAACTGGTCCCCATGCCAGCGTGAAGGTGTGGGAACTTTGAGGGACTTTGTCTCTGCTCATCAAGAACATGTGCCCATTTGCCTGATGCTCATCCTCTGAGTCCCCAGCTGGGAAGCCGAAGCCAGGGAGCCTATCTCACGATGTGTCATCATTCATTCACCTCTGTAATGTCTATCCAGACCTGAGTCCGCCCCACATCTTCTAGCACTGAGCAAACCTGCTCTCCCCAGGGATCTCCCTTCCTTCATGGTCTGGAGGTCCTGTTGTGTGGCCATTCACCTACTGTCCCAAGTGTCACATGCTTGTCCATACATTCCTGCCAGAAGCCTGCGGAGGACCAGCTTTCATAGGAAGGGGCAAATCAAGTCCTCACAACTTCACCTCCCCAGTGGCTCCCGGTTTGCAGCAGCACACAGAACCAAAGTCCATCTCTTGTCAAGTTGCCTCTCAATGTCTTAGCACATCTGCCCTGCACGCCTCTTCCATCACACAGGGTCCTGTTAATGGACTTCAGATCTTCTCAACTCAAAACCACAGTCAGGTGAGAGCTTGTCCTTGTCCTGGCCCAAAACTATAAATCAGGAAATTTACCAACTCAGTCACACTATCCATGAGAGTTTAAAGCAGATTCTCTTAAAAAGGGAGAAAGCCACACTAAAAATCAACATTTAAAAAATACTTGGAAGCTGGGCATGGTCACATAGTATTCAGGAGGCAGAGGGAAGCAGATCTCTGAGTTTGAAACTAGCCTGGACTACACAGAGAGTTCCAGGCCAGCCAGGGCTACACAGTGAGACCTATTTGAAAAACAACACAAAAAGACAATGGGGTCAGATGAGAAGGATCAGAGGTACAGGCACTTGCTGCCAAGCTTTCGGGCCGAAATTTAGTCACTGGGACCTATGAAGTAGAAGAGTGCCACCATAAGCCTGGAAGTGGTGGTGCATGCCTTTAATCCCAGCACTCGGGAGGCAGAGCCAGGCTAATCTCTGTGAGTTCGAGGCCAGCTTGCTCTATAGATCGAGATCCAATACTACACAGAGAAACCCTGTCTCAAAAAACAAAAACAAAAACAAAAAAGGGTTCCAACACATGCACGCACACGCACGCCACAGTGACAGGCCCATTTTGTCTTGAAAGGATCACCCCTAAGTACCTGAATGTTGTTGGAAATGTCACTGGTCAGAGCCACATGCAGGACAACCAGGGGCTCCTCAGGGGTGGAGCAATGGGAGAAGAAATAACATCTCCGGTACGGCCCCACACGCCGCTTCATGTCCATCCAGTTTTTCACAGGGTGCACAGCCTCACACCTGACCAAGTAACACAGAGATTAGACAGATGTGAGAACTACAAACTGACAAGTGCTGAGTTCTAGTCCTGCTAGCCACTTCTGCTCTGCATCTTCACACCAGTCCATCTGATCTGAGACAGGGTCTGGCTTTATAGTCCTGGCTAGTCTGATACTATAACCCAGGCTGACCTTGAACTTTTGATGATCCTCCTGCTCCAGCCTTCCAAGTACTGGGATAACAGGATATGCTGCCCCATTGAACACTTGTTTTCAGAGTACTGTGTGGGGCTCTCAGGTGCATTTATGCAGCAGTTTCATGCAAACCTACTGGAATTTCTTGCTGCTGAACACTTTATCTTTGCTTTGGGTCCCAGCAGTTTGGAAGCAGATGTCCATGCTGCAAACATTGGTGGTTACACCTCTCTCCAGCCTCATCCCACATGTTCCTGCTTCCAGCGTGGGGAATAGTAGACATTACCAAGGTTTACATCCTGGGATGCTTTCCAGTCCTCGATTATACGGGCCAGCATGGAGTGTGGGCAGGACAGCAGGCCATGTACTGCACTGTGCCCTGAGCATGTGATTATGCTGACAGTGTATTTTAACAACTGGATGAAATAGCACCATTCTGACCTCTCAGGCCAACAATTGTTCAACTAGTCTCTACAGCTTTGGTGATCGGGCCATTTGCTTTAAATAACCTTGGGTAACTAACAGACTGGTTAGGGTCTTTATGGGGTGCACCCCAATCTCCACCCTCTCTGTGGTAACAGCCCAGCACCCACACATACAATGTGTTCATGCATCAGGTGAAATAAAACCCATGCAGGCCATGGCCGCCATACTCACTCACTGATCTTCTGAAGCACCTCACAGGGTGAGTGCCAGGTGACCCGCTCCAGGCTCAGGAAGCCAGAGGAGAACCACTCAGACAGCATGCTTTTTAGTACTCCATTCATTTCCTGGGCAGGAGAGAGGAAGGCAGCCTCAGAGGAGCAGGTGCCCATCCAGGAGCCTATCCACCCACTCACAGACATACACTTCCATATCCTGATGTCTTGGAGTCCATACCCACGCTTTCAGCTGGCTCATGGCTGCAGAATCAAGTTTGTACTGCACATGGCAGTGACCGTGTGCCTAACTTCTGGCCAATGAGCTGTAAACAGAGGAGTCTTTTTTTTTTTTTTTTTTTTTTTTAAGATTTATTTATTTATTAGGTATACAGCATGTGTGCCTGCAGGCCAGAAGAGGGCACCAGATCTCATTACAGATGGTTGTGAGCCACCATGTGGTTGCTGGGAATTGAACTCAGGACCTCTGGAAGAGCAGTCAGTGCTCTTAACCTCTGAGCCATCTCTCCAGCCCAACAGAGGAGTCTTATAATGGCTTTGGGAGCCTTAAATGACATCAGGGAATTGGCTTTTGCTGACCTTTTTCTTTTGTCTTTTCCATGGTGAGATGGTAGTTGCTAGGATAGATAATTTTGGAGCAGCCACACTGGGTCAGGAGGTAACTGTGGTGGTTTTTCAGAGCAGAAAGAACAGTATGCCTCCAATCCAGGACACCAAAGAGCAGGTTCAGCCTGGGGCTTCTCCACTCCAGACTTTGACCCAAATGATCAACTCCTCTGCTATACAGACCTCTGTGACTCTGGGTCTATTACTCACAGATTGATTCCACACTGATAGAACGGTAAACATCCCAGGGCATCTAGGTGCACTGAGGTGACTTTCCACATACCCTGTAAGGTTCACTACATGTGTGATCTGTACCTATGGAGATTAGTTTTATCACAGCTATAAAAACTTTACAATGCATCTTAATTCTCAATAAAAGATTAAAGGTCTCCAATTTGGGTGACCTGGGCATAAGCTGCAGGTAAGGGGTAGGTGGTGGTTCTAAAGAAGTCTTTACATAAATATGACTTTGCCATTCAAGTAGCTAAGTACCAGGGCACAGAGGAGGCAGTTTTGTCGTGTGTGGCTTTACGGGGTGGGGAGGACAGACCCAGGACCAAGGTGTGAAAAAGGTGTTTTGAATGTCAGGGCTGCACACAGCTTCAGGCTCATGGAGAGTGAGAGCGCTGGAAGTGACTGCTTGCAGGGTACACGAGAACTCAATGGACCTGTTCTGGAAGGGATGCAAGACTGGAAAAGTGGCTGGCTGGAAGCTATGCAGGCCTTTACCTTATGCTCCCAACCTCATTTTCTTTACTCGCTGAAGGCTCTACAGGGCAAAGCCCACCTCAGTCAAAGCATTCACCCACACACTAATACCCAAGAAGAAAGAGAAAGTGTTGACAATGGTGACTGGGGAGCGGCAGGCTGGCAATACAGGACAGCTTTTTATGAAACCTCATGCTCTGGCTGACGATAGATCAATGGGTAAAGTGCCTCCCACTCAAAAGTATGAGGATGAAGCTGGACACATGGCCTGTGTGCCTGCAATCACAACACTCCTAAGGAGAGATGGGAGGTACAGTCAAGAGAATACTTGGAAACTGTAGGCCTGTAGCACTCACAGGAGTGAAGAAGAGACCTATCTCAAACAAGCTGGCAGACAAGGGCCAATACCCACGGCTGCCCTCTGATGGCAAGTGCATTTGTGCTCACAACACATACATAATGATTTAAAAAAAAAAAAAAAGCTAGGTAGAGTGGTGGTCCACACTAGCACTCAGGGGTAGAGGCAAGTTGATTTCTATGATTTTGAGGCTAGCCTGGTCTACACAGTGAGACCCTGTCTCCAAAACAAACAAAGAAGCTTCTGTACACTCTGCACTGACTATGATTCTTCTTCATGGTCCTGAGATCCTCTCCATTTTTAAAGAGTAAGCTAGGTATCACTAACGCTATCCCTAGGAAAAACAGTCTCTAGAGCTTGGGGATCTGTTTCTGTGCCCCTCGCTGTGGGGCTAGAACAGGCTGGCTGTGCAGATGTGATGGGCTACATTTTGACACACACACGGCAGGAAAAGGCCAGGAGCCCTGGCTCCATTGATGACGCCTCTCCTCTGGAAGCCTCTTCTATTTTGGGCTGCTGACAGCTGCGACATGTGATGCTGGACACAAGAGCAAGGAATGTGGGCTAAAGGTGAGAAGTCTCACTGTCTGGTGCTATAACAACTGTTCCGGTGGGAAGTGACCAGAGAGGGCCGGGTCACCAGGTCACACACAACAGTCTCCTGTGCTTTCTGCTCATTAGCACAGCAGTTATGAGGCACAGCAAAAGCTGAGGCACCTGAGAGCCCCGAGAACCCCAGCAGGCTGCCAGCCTTCCCTGTGCCTGCTTGGGGCACTTAGCCCCAGTGCTGTGGAGGCTGCTGTTTTCTCAGCAGAAAGCTCTCTGGTCTCTCTTCGGAGATGCTTGGCTTTCTAGAGTGACCTCTTTGGGGATTGTGAGGAAAAGTTGCTTTGCCTTGTGCAGAACCCAGAGCTGGGAGGGAGGCAGAGCTACTGTCAGGGAAAAAGGGTAGGGCCAGAAAGAGTGCAGCTCCAGCTCAAGGGCCAAAGGGGTGGGGTGGAGCACTTGATATTCTGGGATCTCTGTCTGTATCAAAAACTAAACTTTGGTCTAACACAGAAAAGCACGAAATTAACACAGAACTTCTTAGAACACGGAATTTGCTAGAGCGCTTAGGAGGTACTCGATAGCCTAGCAGGCAGGAGGCTGTCCAGCAGCACCAAGCATGGTGGCTGTGAGGGGAAGGCGGGTGGTCTCCTTCTGCTTCTCATGCTGGCAAGGGTCACTATCTCCTACCTTACTATGAATCCTGGCCCGAACTGCCTGTTCAAAATCCTTTAGGGCTGTAACTGCCAATTTTGGTCTGGTGCCTGCCAACTGCTAAACAGTACTGACTATCCTTCCCCAACCTGGGGACAGTCCCCCTTCACTGCATTTTTACCTATAAGAAATGTAATTGATAACCACATGGGCAGGTGCAACTGTGTGGAGAAACAAAAAGCCTGCCAACATCACCCAGTGGGAACTTCCCTGGCACCCTCCCATACACCCACAGACACAGCCTGAGGCAGGGGCCACCACACAGGGCTAGCCATTGTCCTCTGGTGAGGACTCAGCTCCTGCTAGGGAGCCCTGCCTGGCTGACATTGAGTATTACCTCTCAAACTGCTCCCAGGTCACCTAAGGGCATGTTAGAGACAAAACTGAACACAGGAGGCCAAGCCCAGCTGGCTCAGATCTCAACTGGTGCCTCTTTAAGCCCAAGCCCTCGGTGTGCATCTCCAGAAAGACCATCAAGCCAAGCATAGCAAAGAGCCTTTGGACTCAGCAGCTATTTTTTTTTTTTTAAACAACACTGTTTAACTTGTAACCAAAGGGAACTTTTCCTGGCACGGCAACACTGCTTTCAGGATTTTGTATTAGTCCCCACACTGAATAATCCATTCATGTTCTCTTCCCTATGGGCTAACATTCTGGTTTTTTTGGAAACAGGGGCTTATATAGCCCAGCTTGGCTTCTTACTATCAGCTAACAGCTCACCTCAGCGGATAGACCAAGAATTCCATGGGAATTGAGGAACTTAGCTACAATCATCCAGACCACACCCACCACCCATAGCAAGACAGGTAACAAGACAGGCTCATCTCCTCACTCAGAGCTTCTTCTACTCTGTCCTGGGAAACACACAGAATCTGCACTGGGGGCTGCCATTTGCCACTTATTCTAACATGACAGCGCCAGCCAGGGTTCAACACACAGAGACCTGAACCCACATGATGGGAGACCTTGGGTCTATAACCAACTGTCCCGAAAATACAAAGGTCACACGGGCCAGGCAAGCAACAAACCTGTCAATCAGTAGTTCTAACGTTGGGGACACTCAGTGTGAGCACACTCTTGTCCTAGTTAGCTTCAGTTGTCAACCAGACACACTTTGGAAGAGGGGAAGTCCACTGAGGGGCTGCCTCCATCAGACTGCCCGGGGGGTGGGGGGCATTTTCTGGAGTGATAATTGACATGGGAGCACCCAGCCTACTGTGGGGGGTGCTACCCACTGGGCAGGTTGGGCCTGGGCAGCATAACAAAGGTGGCTGAGCAAGCCAGTAAGCAGCATCTCTCCACGGTCTCTGCTTCAGTTATCGGCTCCAGGTTCCTGCCTTGGCATCCCTCCATGATGGACTGTAACCTGTAAGCCAAATAAACACTTTTCTCCTCAAGTTGCTTTGGTCAGAATGTAGACACAGAAGAGGAAAGCAAACTGGGACACTTCCTAAGAAAACACTGCATTTAAGAAAGCTCTGGGAGCCCGGTGGTGACACATGCCTTTAATCTCAGCACTCGGGAGGCAGAGCCAGGTGGATCTCTGAGTTCAAGGCCAGCCTGATCTACAGAGCAAATTACAGGACAGTCAGGGTCACACAGAGAAACCCTGTCTCAAAAAACAAACAAAACAAACCAAAAAGGCCCAAGGGTCTGCAGTCAGTTCTAAAGCCTTGTGAGCCAAATTGGTGGTTTTGTCCTCACCCCAGTGGCCTGGCGAATGCAGGTATCTGCACACCAAGTTCACAGACACCTAGCAGTGGAACCCTCTGGGTGTGGTGATAATGGCGAGGCTGTGCCTGTACAGTGCAGAGACTTGGAGAGTCTGAACCTTGCACTCAGGTTTACTGTGATCCTAAAACTGCTCTAAACAGTCTTTAAAATGGGACTGTTCAGGGCTGAGGAGATACCTCAGTCGATTAAGAGCTTTCCTGAGTTTGATCCCTAACACTAGTGTTTTAAAACTGGGGTGGGGCTGGAGAGATGGCTCCAAGGTTAAGAGCACCAACTGACCTTGCAGAGGATATGGGTTTGGTTCCCAGATCCACATGCCATCTCACAACTGGCTGTAACTTCATTTCCAGGGGATCTGATGCCTTCTTCTGGCCTCTGTAGACACTGTATGTACATGGTACACATACATACATGCAAGCAAAACACTGGTACACATAAAATAAAAAAACCAGTACAGTGGTGCACTTTGTTGGCTGGCACTGGGAAGGTGGGAAAGGATTATTTCTGGGACTTACTAAGCAGTCCACCTAATCTAACTGGTGAGTCCCAAATCTCAGTGAGAGACCCTGTCTCAAAAACTAAGGTGGATAGCTTCTGAGGATGACACTCAAGGTTGACCTCTGGCTCAGGCATGTACATACATACTCACACTCCAAGTTCTTCTGGTGACAGGTGACAATACCAAATCCTGACTGACAAATGCTAGGGAGAGGAATAAAATCTCTAATCTCAAAACAACTTAACTGATAAAATGTTATAGAACCGTGTGAGGGATAAAGAAATTGATCAGCTTAACTATGTACAGTTAATCAGAGCAATTAGCCTAGGATCTAGGTGGAGAAACATACAGGGCCTCCAAAGTGTGCACCATGTGGAAGGGAAAAGGTCAGGCTGTGGCTATTCCTTCTTTGCTGACAAATACCTCTAAGCCTCATTCATGACTCCTGGCCGGCAGGAGGCACTGTCTTTCTCCCTTAAGTGGAGGGCAGCCAAAGCTAAAAAGCAAGGGGACCTGTATGTAAGATATCTAAGCGTGGCTTGCTTCTGATTGCCAGATACAAGCTCCTCCCTAAAGTCAGCCTCAATGTTACAAGTGTCAGTGGCCATGATGAGCTACCAAGAGCTCTGGCTGGTAAAGGAACTCCCAGAATCAGAGAATTTGGAATTGGATGGGGCATTAGAAGCTATCTGAGGGCTGTGGTTTTTGCCTTGTATCTGGGTGTCTTTCAGGCCCTTCCTGACTTCCTTTCTAGTTCTGAACCTCAAAAACAAACAGTGGGTTAACATTTGCCTCCCTGGAGCCTATCTCCAGGACTCTGCCATCACTTCACTATGCAGAAGGTTTAAGACAAGGTTCCAGTTTTCAAAGAACTGACCATATAGTTGTGGGGACATTCTGAATGCCACAGAGCATGGAATACAAAAGTTCACCCACTCTGACTGCGACAGAGCCTGGAACAGGGTATCACAGAAACCAAGACAGATTCTGCAATACCCACTGAACATCTGGGGCTTTCAGTCTGGCATGAAAGCTTACAGCCCTGGGTAACACTTAGCCTCGGAAATGAACCAGCTATCTTGAAAAATCTGGTCATATGCACTGTTGTTACACATATTAGTCCCTGAACTATACCCAAGATTAAGCAACCAAACTGAGAAGAAATTCCAGGGTTAACCCTCACAGAGAATGGTGCTGGGCAGTGCAAAGGAGCCTATCTTGGGGGAATGTATCAGAAATGGATGTCTTTGCTCTGAGGTCTGGAGCAACTCAACACCTGGCATGGGTGCCCTTCACTGTAAAGGAGATACATGTCACCCAAAACGAGGGACTGGAAGTAAAAAACTGTCCTGCTTGTCTTAGAGTTCTCAAGTGAGTCAGGACACAATCACTCCACTGTTTGACTTTGAAAAAGTAGATGAAGCTCTGAATGCCAGGAACTTCTGAAATGTTGGTATCACTGTGCATGAACTCAGGGTCAGGCCAGTGTTGAGCTCTATTGAATATTAATGGTATAAAGGGCTGGGAGCAACCCTAGACAATCTGTTGGGTCGCAGCTATGTAAACCTCCGTTATTTGTAAGCTTGGTGATCTCGCTGGGTAAGCAGCTGACTGGTTCAAATACTAAATCACTGCGTCTAGAGCTGAGCTCGGAGTCAAATCTCCTATCCAGAGTCGCACTGCAGAAAGAAGGCTGGAGGCTTCGGAGACTCATAAGGTGGTGACCTTCACTTCTGGCCATCTTTGTGCATGCCACATAACCTGTTAGGGCTACGTGGCGCTCGCGGTAGGCACTCAAACTTTGCCGTGCTCCATTCTTGCTCAGGTAAAGAGCAGTTAAAACCAGAGCTATTTTGGAGTGAGCGCAATGAGTACCGCACCTGACAGTCGCCCCAAGTATAGCGCTACGTACCACGCAGTAAGCACTGTGTACCTGCGGCCGGCAAGGTGGAGCTGCAGGGGCTTGGATATGGACCTGGGTAGCGGGGGGAGGGAAGGGGCAGGGCCCCGGGGTGGTGGCGGGGGGCCCGGGTGGGGCCTTACCCGGACGTGCGGCCCCTCCACCAGCTTGAGGGCCTGCGCCTCCAGCAGATCGGCCCGCAGCTGCACCAGGAAGCGCACGCCGCCGTCCAGCTTGCTGATGTGGTGGAAGAGGCCGCGGTAGCGCGGCACGAGCGCATAGCGTAGCCGGTCCTCGGCCTGCAGCAGCACGGCCGCCTCGCGCGACTGCTGGCGCAGCTGCAGCACTCCGGCGCTCTGCTCGGCCACCTGGCCGTGGTCCACGCCGAAGCCCTGCGCTAGGCGGCCGAGCAGCTCGGCGCGCTGGGCCGTCTCGGCCAAGGCGCCGTAGAAGCTCACGAAGTCGGCGCACTGCCCCTCGGCGGGCGCCGGCGTCTTCTCGCGCAGCTCGTAGGCCGGCGTGGGTGGCACGGCTCGCCGCAGCAGCTCGTCCATGGCGCCGGCCGTGAGCCCGCTGCACAGCCGAGGCACCCGAGGCCCCGGCGGCCGCGGCGGGTACCGGGGTGGCAGCAGGCGCCGAGCCCTCAGGGTTGGCCCAAGGCCTCTCATGATAGCCTTGCAACAGCTGCTAACGGGAGACGCCGCGGGACCCTGCCTCACTTCCTGTTCCGGCTTCCGGTACCTCGCCGGTCCTATTGGTCAAGGCGGGACGACGGACGGGGCATCGGCCAATCGGGAGGCGGAGCTGTAGGGCGGGGCGAAAGAGTTCCCTCAGGCTGGAGGCCAAGTGCAGCTAAAGGTCCCGGGGGGAGTACTCTCCAGGCACCTGACTCGCCCCCTTGGCCTGCATCCTGACACTTGTCCTGAGAGTCACCCTCTCAGCCCCTTGCCTCTTTCCCTACCGACTACGCACGCGCTTCTCTTAATCTGTGTGCTTGCCATTTCAGCTCCTCCAGGGACCGCGCTGTGCACGCAGTTTCCTAGGCTATAGCTCGGATCCAGCGTGAGCAAGGAGCTGAGGAATTTGCGTTTGCATGCTGAACGAGGATTCCTAGGGCTGGGGATAGCTCAGTTGGTAAAGCATTGGAGGACTTGAGTTCATGTCTAGAATCCATGGGAAAACGTGTGTAACCCCAGCGTTGGGGAGGTGGATACAGGAGGATCCCTGGGGCTGGCTGGCTGACCTGCCAGTCCAACTTACATGGTGAATCCAGGCCTGCCAGAGACCCTATCTCCAAGCCAAACCAGGCAGCTAGCGCCCAACACCCGAGGCGTCCTCTGGCTTCCACAACACATGTGTGCATTCGTGCACCCCCACTCGTGTGTACACGAAGTGTCATTCTCTGGCAAGACATTTTGTTTGACCCTGCCTAGGCCCTCTCCTGCTCTTGTCAAGGGTCCCACCCAGAGAGGACTGCCAGAGACCCAACCCATGCCTCCTACTGCACCCTGGAGAGCTGGCCACGCTGCAAATGGAGATCCTGGGAATCTTCCCTACCAGCCTCCTTGCTGAGCCTCATTCATTCATTTTTATTCGTTCATTCATTTAACAGACTGGTTCTTATCTGCCTGGTGTGGTCTAGGTCCCACACTAGGCTTGCATTTAAAATGGTCCTGCCCTTGTTCTCATTCAGTTTACAGTCTGAGGAAGAGACACGTTAAAATAACTACAAAAAAGAATCAGAATGCTGGAGTAGGCTCTGTATGGATTCAGCTTGATATGACCACAACCATCTTGAATCCAGACCGACACGACTATCCTAGAGAAACCACAGTCCATTTTCAGTGTATAATTTCACCTCACACTATAGGTAGACCAAATCCTGGGAATGAATGATGCATGGGGTCTTACAACCAGATCCAGGCTCCAACCTGTGCCTGGTACTTTGATAAGAACTTAAGATGAACTACGTACATCCCAGCCAGGGTGAAGTCACTTCATCCTAACTCATATACATGACTCTCTTTCTGACCCGTATGGTGGGATCCAGTTGGTTTTGCTGTCTCCCAAGACTAATACATTTTTTAATAAGTCTGCCAATAAACTGTGCTCTCCAGTTCTTCATCTGCCTGCATCTTCCTTCGGTCTTGCAGCACCTCAGGCTGGGCTGTGCACACTAACTAGGAGCTGCTGTTTTGGAAGAGTTTGCCATCGTGGATAGGACAGCCAGGAAAGGCCTGTCAGAGGAGATGACATTTAAAGTCAGGGGCAGACACTGGTTATGGAATAGGAACAAAGAGAGCTGTCCAATCTATTCTTCTAGCTCAAACACATGACACATAACTGCTGCCCTGAGCTCCACTGCAGTATCTAAATGCCACTGATTTCTAGTTCTTTCTGGTCCCCTGTTCCTGTGGCTCCTGTCCTGTCTCACCGCTGCCCTTCTTTGCACCCAGGCTCGCTCCCTGGAGCCCACCATCTGCTCCACCTGCTGAGTGTGGTTTTTTTTCCCCTTGTCCATTTATTAACACCTGCTGTTCACTTGCTCAACAGCCAGGCACTGTAGTCCTACACACAGAGCTGGCTTCTATGCTCCCCCTGTGTCCTGCCCGTCTTCTGTCTCTCCTTGCATCATGATGCCTCCTAAGCATAGAAAATTTGACTATCATGTGGGAGCTCATTTTCAGGTTCCTAGTGGCTTTACCCAGCAGGTCCACATAGAGAGGATGATTGGACCACGGGCCAGAGTGCAGGTGTCTGAGATGGTCTGCACTTAGCTGTGCTGGGGGGAGGTCTTTTGCTCCACCCCTTGGCATTTCTATAAATACCTTAGGGCAGAGACAGTCAAGGCCCATTGGAATAGGTTCTAGGCCCTCTTGAGGCTACTTTGTATTTTCTATCTGTTTATCTCCACACTCTAAATCCTTCTATCTAATATTTCCTGCTGCTCTTACACAAGAAAACTCTGGGGAACTGGGGGGAATGTTGGGTAGCTGCCCCGCACTATCAGTTTTGAAAAAGACTTTAAAACAGGGACGGGAATGAATCTAGGATGGGAGGATGGGGTGGACAAGTGAGCTCCAAAGATGAGGCTTAGACCCGAGGAGGTGGATACAGAAGGATCTCTGGGTCTCATGGGGACCCCTAAAAGATCTGTGGGTGCTAGAGGGTGGGCCCTTCTTTTCTGTAGTCACAATAGTTGTAACTTATGCCCCCCCCCCTTGAGCAGACCTGAAGAGGCAGATGTACAGAGCAGTCGAGCACTTTTTGTACTTACATACACGAACCACTCTGTCACTTTAGCATGTGCTAGATGCAGGCCTTCCACAGTTCTTGCACATTTAAGGCCACAATAACTGTTATACAGTGACAACTGTTATTCCCATGTGATGAAGGTGGAACTGAAGCCCAGAGAGATACAGGGAAGGATTTTCATGAATGAAAGTCCAGCTGGAAGATGGCAGTCAGAATCCCTAGGCTGCTCTGAGCCTGGGGTGGGTGTGTTAGGAGGACTTGAACACAGGCCCGCCTCCCTCCAGCCCGTGCTTCTTCCACCCTGGGCTTTCCGTGCTGAGAAAAGCACTTGTTTGCATTGTGAGGCTTGGGGTTGTCTTGTTTGCATTGTGAGGCTTGTTTTTGTGCTGTGGTGCTGAGGGAAACACCAAGAGTTGGGATGTAACAGACACCACATCCACCATCAGGAAAGTTCATGCTTTAATTCCCATGTCCGTTATATCAGCCAGCAGATAAAGTGGAGACCCGATGGGGTCACCTGACTTACCAAGGCAAATGTGTGAGTGAGAGGCAAAGCCTACATTTGACCCTTGTCCTGTGACTCTAAAGATCTTTCTTTATTCTACTTTTGGAAGTGAGGTTTCTAGAGTTTTCTTCCTAGAGGCCATAGGGGAATATTTTCCTTATTCCCCAGCTGGGTACCAATGATGATGCATTCAGGAAGATGCTGGGAGAGGATATTCAACAGACTGATGGATCTAGCCAGACCTAGTGGTGCAAGCCTATGATCTAAGCTATTTGAATGGCTGAGGCAAGAGGATCATCGGTTCAAGTCCAGCTTGGGCTACAGAATGAGGTCAAGACCAGTCTGGGCAATTTAGTAAGACCCTGTCTCAAAATAATAAACCAAAAGAAGGTGGGGGATGTAGCTCGGTGGTAAAGCACCTGCCCAGAGTGTGTGAGGCTCTGGGGGTTCAATCTCCAGTACAGGAACCAAACAAAATGGTGACAGTACAGTAATTGAAACTGTGAGCAAACAGCTGTAAGGCATAATTGAAGGCCCAGAAAGAGGCCCAGCAGTGTGGGGTATTTAGTGTGTAATGGATATGTTATGAGAAAAACCTTAAACAAGCCGGCTGGCTTTGCTGAAGTGACCCCAGAGGCCAGAAGAAGGTAGAGCTAGAGCTACAGGTGATTGTACTCGGGTCCTCTACAAAAGCAGCAAGTGCTTTTTTAGTTATTTATTTTTGTATTTATTTGTTTGGTTGGTTTGTTTTTACATCCCGTCCACAGTTTCTCCTCCCTCCTCTTCTCCCAGTCCCTCCCCGCCCACTCCTCTGTTACAGAAATTTTATTTATGCCATTGGCCCATTGGTTAATTGAAAAGAGGCGGAGTTTCCATTCAGCTGGGCGGAATGGATCAGCAAGCAAGCCTTGGAGGACCCAGGAGAGGAGAGAGTGGCCCCAGGGGAGGGACGAGGAGGGCCTGAAGGTTGCAGGGCTGCTTTTGGGCTTTTGGATGCCAGGAATCGACCAGCCGAGGGATGCTCTCGCCATAACTTGGATCCCTCTCAGGCTTTCCTTTTCCTTTAATATTTGTGCATGGGATTTGTTTATTAATAAATGATAAAAGAATCATTTCCACTCCTCTGTTTCTCTTCAGAAAAGGGTGGACCTCCTGTGGTTATCAACCAGCCATGGTATATCAAGTTGCAGTGAGACTAGGCACCTCTGTTAAGGCTGGATGAGGCAACCCAGTAGGAGGAATAGGTCCCCAAAGCAACAGGATCAGAGACAACCCTTGCTCCCACTGTTAGGAGTCCCATATGAAGACCAAGATACACAACTGTAATATATATGTGGAAGACCTAGGTCAATCGCGTACAGGCTCCCTAGCAACTACACTGAGCCATCTCTCCAGCCTCCCACCTTTTGAATCTTAATAACTGCAGAATCAACTGTTTCTGGCAGAAGAGGAACTAAAGAGATGTATGTCATAAGACTTTTCTCACCAGTAACGATTTCTTCCACTCATAGAACACAGAACATCCAAGACTTACAGAGACAGCAATCAGTGTGTCAGCAAAGCAGTCCCTTCCACCTCCCCGCCCCCGCCAGCCTCCCCTTCAAACCCTCCCCCCACAGCCTCCTCCGACTCTCATATGTAAACTTTGAACCAGGAACCCTAAGGCAAGATGGTCTCTGCCAGTGCTAGCCTGTCTCTCTGGTTTCCTAGCTTTGCAATGACATCATTTTCTTATACTGGCTTGTCCTCCAGTCATTGACTTCTCTTGCCTCAGGTTCATGGTGACAGAAGCCTTGCACATTACTGGGGGGAAATAAATGTGTCTCCTGGGAGAAGGGACACAGTTGAGTGCCAAACTCGGACTGTACACACTAAAACTCAGACGCATGAAGCTTTCAGTGGTTTAAAATGAAATAAAAACAGAGCACTGACTCCAAGTGAGACACACACAATCCTG